TCATAAAAATAGTAGAATTATGCTGCGGTAGTTGTATTCATTCTGATATTCAATTTATTTTTTTTTCATAATAAAGGATTAAATATTTGAACTTCTATATTGTCTTCATGCATTGTTTCAGTAGAACTCAAGTTACCATATTTTACTTTCAGGGGTGTCCCGAAGTCGGAAAAATTGGGGGGAGAGGGGTCGATAATATAGAAAGTCGTTAAAAAAAAATTCTAAAGATGACCGAACTTCGGGGAAATACAAGCCTTTTTTTTGCAAATTGTTGAGCACAAAAACCGAAAAAAACGTCAATTGTGCCATGAAAAAACGAAAATTTTTCAAGATTGGGGGTCACAACGCTCCGCTGTGAGACATCTATTTACTTCAAAAGAGCTGGGGGCTGAGCCCCCTCTACCAATATTTCCTGGTTACGCCACTAAGTAAAGGATTCGTCCGCATCAATCTTTGAAGTCAAGTTCAGGTCATTTTACTGAATTTTCAGCGGAAAAGAATCTTCTTCTACTGAGATATCCAATTTGCATAAAGTATTCGCTTGCCGCAGGCATGATTCAAATATCGAGTTCACTTAAAAATTCAATATCTTGACAAAAGAACATTCTTATCGGTTGAAACTTTCAGGAATATCCTAAGTAAACGAAGAGCAAATCACCTGGAAATGTTCCGTTCAAAGTTCAAAATTTTACTATTTCGAATTGAACTAGACAAGTATGGAAAATTTCGTTTCGATCTTGAGTCTATGAAAGATGCGCACACAATATGAAAACAAAGGAATAGTGTATGGGTGCAGAATTTCCAATTCGGAAGTCGATCTCGAAAGTTTTCCTCTCCAAAAAATGTCAAATTTGTAGTCCTGACAATCAGAGCAATTATTAAATTAACCAACCAGATAAACATTTAGTAATATCAAGTTTATCAACTTCTGGACAATTTTCATTCATTTCTGGACATTTTTCAACATCAACTAATTTTAAAACATATTCATGTAATTGATTAAAACCAAATGCAGATACTGTTCGATTGTATCGAAGTTGTATAGGTCTAAAATATCTTCATTGAACTTAATATTTAATATTTCTTGTCTACAAACCTGCAAAAATCAGGTTGAAATACATTAATAATTTTTCGATTTGGTGGATTACCCAATGGTGGAAATGTCAAACCATCTAAACAATACAAATCTTATTAAAAAAACAAAAAAAACGTTTTTTTTTTTTTTTCTTTCACCAAAAATATCCGTTTGCCAATCTTCACTTGTTGTTTTAAATGTCGTACTAAATCATATAAAAAAAAAATAATTTACAGAAATACCTTTTTTTTCATTTTACTATTCTGTGGCAAAATCAATCATTTGTCCTTTTATTGTTGAATTATTAATTCCATTATGAATAGTATAATTATATCCATTTGTTCCATTAGCCTAAACAAATAATTATTAGGAGAGATGCTCGATGAGTATACAAGACATTGATCAAAATTTTAATTTTTTAACTTATTTCGATGTTTTATAGTAAAATAAAATTAGTATTGATCGACTTTTTAGTACAGAGAATTTTTGATAGATAATCAACAGAATGAAAAATTCGATATCTCGAGAACGAAAGCTCATAGAAAACAAATCATTCTAGATTTTTCTATTACTCATCAAATAAAGATACTTTTCAATGTCCTTTGATTATAACTAGAACCATATAGATAATTTCTCGGTACCTTAACGCATCCACCTTATGGGTGTTCTCTTACAGTAATCGTCATAAGTAGCAGCGACCTCTTTTTTTATTGTTCAACAATGACTTTTATTTTATCTTTTTGCTTTATTTCAACGGACTAATCGTACTCATCATTTGATATAAATTTGGAGTATTTATATTCATTCTATTACCAATCTATAAATTAATCAAAAAATGAACATTTCTTTAAAAGGATGGAAAATCGTCTTTTTATCAAGGCACAAGTATAGTACACACATGCCAAATGCTCATATTTCACGATATTTATGAATCAGTAAGTTGACTATGCAAAATAGGCTTGAAATATATAAAACAACTGGTGATGTAGAAGTTGTATAAAAATCTGGTTGTAAACGATCTACAACGGAAAAACAAGATGTTTTACTTCAATCGATGATAGCTCAACATCCAACCGAATCCGTAGATCAAATTGCATTTAGATTATCAAACAAAAGTATAAAAACTAGTGAAACGACATTAAGAAGAAGATTTAAAGAGACTGATGTATAATCAATGAAACCAACTTCCAAACCATCGTCAACAAGTGACCATATTAAGAAAAGATTTCAGTGAGTTATACAACACTAAGATATTGACTAGAATCAATTTGTATTTACAGATGAGAGTTCATTTCATATGAAACAAGTGGTAAGACGTGTATGCGAAAAAATATTATATCTCAATAGTGAAGCATCTTGTCAAAATTCACGTTTTGAGATGGTTTTAGCAAACATTAAATTCAAAGTTTATGTACAAAATTTACAAGAATGGACCCCTGGAATGTTTGCTAATAATAACTATAATTGGAAACTTTTAGAAGATAATAATCCGAAGC